TTTTCTTCGAATATCCTGCGCGTTCTCCGTGAGAGTTTACTTGTTATCTTCCTTTTCATGTCTTTATATTTAGTTCTGCCATAATCTATTTATAGTCCGTGACGAAGCTAATGGGACCACAGATGCTCCACTCCCAAACCTGCTTGATGAAAATTACGATGAAAATAGTGGTAAGCATGTTATTTACAACTGTTGTTTGCTTGATTCATTTTTATTACTCCTAATCATTTTTATAGCTCATCCACGTAATCGTCCAACTCTCCCACCAAGAAGAACTTTAGAGGAGGCTATGTTGCGTAGAACTGTGGACGATCTTCTTTCAGACTCACCACCAGTATCTATGCCGCGCCCACCACCGCTTGCACCAAGACCCGTATGTTATCTCTTTGAAAAATACGTAGAGCAAATAATATACAGTTTCAGACTCCCTTACTGGGACCCCTTCCTGCGCCGCCATCACGCCCTCCTCCGCCTACCCCAACTGCGATTGCAAGTAGTTTGAGCGCAGGTGGCACATCTTCGATGCACAATGCTAATTCTGTGCTGGTAGATTTTTTACTTTTTAGCGCAATATATCATGATAGAACGAACTTGCGCCGTTGTTTCATGTTGCTGATGAAAATCTGTTTCAAGGATTCATTGCTCGGACGACCATCTGGTGTCAGTCAGGACCTACCTTCTTCTTCGCGTTCATCTTTGCCTAATCTGCAGAGCTTATCGGCTCCTTCTACTACTCGAGCGAAAAGTGCACAGTTAAGTGTGGGACGAGAATCGAGCGAACGAGAGGAGGGAGCACAAGGCGACGATATGGACGAATGCACAGTAGGTTTTAAGAGTTACGCCTAATTGAGTGTACCTAAGTTCAGGATGTACTTTTCATTTCATTACTTTCTATGAAGCCACTTTTCTATTTTCTTTGAAATGTCCGTAAACTATTGTAGATTTTGCAGGTGTGTATGTCAGCAAGAGTGAACAGTGCTTTGTACAAGTGCGGACACTCTTGTATGTGCTATGACTGTGCAATGCAGACGTATCATTCTTCCGGTTTGTGCCCTCTGTGCCGTGCATCAATTTTGGATGTCATCAAGATCTTCAAAGCTTGATTTTTTTACAAAGCATTGTCCTTTTCATAGAAAGCGAACATAGTCGATTGTGACTATGCACTACTTTTTTTGATGTAAATAATTTTTTTTCTGTAGTAGAATTCCTTGTTCCCATTACTTGTCCATGCGTACGCGTTGCTACGTTGTGCTTGCTCATCAGCGAAATTTACCACTACAAATTGCGTACTGGTAATTGTACTGTCGTCATTTTGTTATTGTCATCCTATCTTGTCTTCCAACACGACTTTCAAAATTTTCTGTTGAATTTAATTGTGCTTGCTACAATCATTCACTGTAGCAAAACGTACCAACAATTGGCCTGTGCTATGCATTTTTACCCTGCATTATACTTATTGTCTGCTTACTTGATGTTTATCATGTGCAAATTGCTTATCTTTTCTAAACCTTATAGCATGCTCTCCAGATGGGAAATTTTCAAAATTGTGTGAATTTGTATTTCAAGTCCTTTAAACAACTTCTGATTTGCGGTGACCCCTCGTTTAATGGTTGTAGTGAATATTATGTCTTGATTATAACCATTTCTAGTGGTAACTTTTGAGTTCACGAGTAATTGTTTATTGATAGCCACTTTTCTACTTGTACTTATCTTACTTGTAAATGAAATCATTAAGTAATATTTGTTTGTTATTGTTTTGTACTGACTTTCACAGCAGTCATTCACAGCAAGTGTAGTTCAAAACATTGGGCAATGAAGCCAAATCATTTTAGCCTTTGAACGTTTTGATGTTTATGAGACAGTGAGAGTTAGGTGATCAAAAAGTATTGTTCACTAGAAACGATCCGTTCGCGATGAATGGAGATGATTTTTTGCTCAGACGCAGCCTTGGCGTACGTCAGATGTTTTTATGCAGGAATACCAGTGTTTGCTTAATCGGGAACTTCAATCATTCTTTGCTGGAAAAAACGAACAAATTTGTACGCCCTCATCTCGAACATCTTTTCCGAGTTGTTCTATTTTGATCTCAGTTTTACTGAGACAAGGAATGTCAGTGAATCGACATGAAGTTCAAAATTATATTTGTCGTCCCAAACAGTCTGCGTACGCGTAGATCGTCCAAGTTTAAACTAGGGGAACACTAACATCCCTTATATTCCTCGTATCTTATTCCAAGGACCATTCTCTCTTACTAATTATCCTTCAACGATATAGGGTGTAACCTCAGTTAACGTCTTACTAAGGTGATGTCCAGCCAGATTTCCATCCGAGTTTTGCACATTATTTGGATCATTTCAATGTGCTGGACAGGAATAGCAGCCTCAGTTACTGTAGAGTAGAGACTCCGGGCTCACTTTGATTGACATTGGCGAGTGGCGGAGAGGCTATTTCATATGTACGACTCATGGTCCAAGCGATCGCACGCCTTTTTCGGTAAAGAGGCTGATTTCGAGAGAAGCCAAAGACGGTGTTGTAGGAAAATCACTAAGTGGGAGGAGTGACATAAACGGGACGCGCTGACCTAAACCTCCGAGGCACTTTCCTCGCAGATCACGGAAATTAAGAGCGACTCCTCGAGAGGTGTTCCAGAAGGCCTCGGCGGTGGTGAAGGTGTTCGATTAGACCTCACGAGAGCGAATTCCCGTTTATCCAGCAAATTAAGTAGCAACCTCCGTAATCTCTGGAAACGTATACATACGGGCAAGTGCCATGGCGTTGTTCGTTTGGAGCGCGTTTGCTTTCCTAAAGAAAGGTCTGAGATCTTACAAGGGAATGTTTACTCGAAGTGGCCATTCAAATCGAGATATATCCCATAATAACAAGTTGGGTATGGAAAACTCAAATCTGTCTTCCATATCTGCGAAACGGTTTTCTGGAGGAAGATATGGACGCTTGTTTCCATGAGGCCATGTACAATAAGTAGTACTTGTGCAACCACTCTAAGTGTTAGGATGGCACAGTGGTAAGTGTGTTGGTTTGCAGGTGTGCGTTGCAGATTCCAATCCTGTTGCCACTGAAAGTTTTGTGTTTTTTGCAATAATGTATATTCGCTTGATAAATCTTGAAGAAAACACTTAATTTGATTATCTAGTAGTCATGAATATTTATATCATGACCAGAGCCTTATCTTTCCATACTCCTGCTCAGTTTTGTTTCCCTCCTGATCTCATAGGATGTTGCAGTGCAAACAATTGCGGCGAAGAACATTCCCTTCGATGCGCTGACTGTGAGCAGCTATTATGCTTTAACTTTTTATAGGCGACTATCACATATGTTTATGGGGTAAATAATTTCAAATAAACGTATAATCATGGGCTTAGCTTGTCTTTGGACAATAAATCGACAAGTTAGTAAAGCTTTCTTTAGCAATAGCAGGTAACTGCAAAAAAGGCAAAACTTCCACCAGCAAGAGGATTCGAACCTGCATCGCACACTCTGCAAAGCAAGACGCTTACCATTGCGCCATCCTAACACTTAAAGTGATTGCGCAAGTACTCCTTATTGTACATGGCCTCATGGAAACAGACGTCCATATCTTCTTCCAGAAAACCGTTTCGCAGATATGGAAGACAGATTTGAGTTTCCCATACCCAAC